GGAAGCAAACTCTAGCCCGGTCCAAAACTCCAGAGAGGCAGACAGCTCCCTGCGCCCTTGCCACTCTCCCAGTGAATGGAATCTACCCGTCTCACATGGCTCCCTGGGCTAGGGTGAAAGTGGCTGAAAGTGCTCTCGCTCTTGCAGGAGGCCGAGTTCAATAAGGTCAACAGGTAACCAAGAACGTGTGCTGTGTGTTCTATTTTGAGAGCTTCGGGTTTTTAACATACTTAAAGCAAGTGCCATGTGTCAGGCAGTGTTAGGAGTTTTTTTTTACCATCATCAACTCATTTAATCCTCATATCTGTAATGATCATATGAGGATCATTTCTCCACTTACTGGTGAGGGAGCTGAGGAGTGAGGTAGTTTACTCAAGGTTACAGGGACCAGAATTCAAGTCCGAGCCAAATGGCTCCCAATAGTTCATGCTCTTCCTGGCTATTCTCTGTGTCCTCCACATTTTGGTGCATTTTAAGCAATTGTTGACTTTGAAGAGTAGGAAGGATTTAAAAAGGTAGAGAAAAGGGACTTTGGGAACAGTATGAACCAAAATACTTAAGACCGAGTTATAGGTAAGTCCTTAGCAGGGTCTCCCCAGTGGCGCAAGGGGCTAAGTCTCAGCCCTGAGAAGCTACTGGTACCAATGCAGGCCAGGGAGCCACCCCACATGGCACAGCAGACCTCTCCTGCTCCCCTCAGCAGTATATTTCAGTCCATCTGCCTGTTCTGCTCTTCGCTCTGTTTCTGATGAATCCTCTCAGCCCCTCCCCCCATACTTCTGGCCTACACCGCAGCTCTTGTATGCATAAATAAATAAAATAAATCTTTCCTAAAAAGCATTATTAGTAGCAGCATTTAGTGACAATGTATAGTGTGTGGTGTATTTTTTTTTTTAAGATTTATTTATTTATTTGTGCATACAGAACTGGGGTACAGGCCAGAGGCTCAGGGGCGGTGAGAGGCTTCACCAGAGACAGAGGGGGGAGCAGAACAGGCAGATCGACGAAGTACACTGCTGAGGGGAACAGAGGGCGGGCCAGGAGAGGTCTGGCTCGCCATGTGGTCACCTCTGGGGCAGGCGGGAATCAAATTCATGCGGAAGTGGCTTCAGATTCTCAGTGCTGTGCTTTAACCCGCTGCGCCACCAGGGAGGGCCAGTGTGTGGTGTATTTTAATGTAAAATCTCAAGCAACTCAAACAGCCCTGGAGCTTTTGTAGCTCCATTCCAGATGAGGAAACCAAGGGTCAGAGTCACAATTCCAAGGTGCAAGAGCAATCAGAAGCGAATCCCAGTCAGTCCACTGACCTACAGTGAGTGCCAACCACATGGCTGCACTGCCGCCAGGCACTGCAGCCACACAGGTGATTGGAATGAGGTCCACACTAAACACTGACCTCAGGATTCCAGGGCTGCAACATGAGGATTGCCCCAGAAGGCCTTCTTGTTCAAGCGCCTGGGCTTGGTCTACCTGGGAGGCCTTGAAAGACTCCCTCTTAGGAGTCATTCCTGCTGCTTCATCATCCATTCCTAAGGTCCAGGTCCTCCAGGGAGAGCTTTTCCAGCCATAACTTTGACCTTTCAGGTGCACTTTTTGTCGTCCTCTCTTGTGTCTAATCCATGCTGCCAGCAAATCCCTATCTCTCTTTTCCCTCCGGCTGGCTTCTGCATGTATCCCAAATTTCTGTGCTCCTATCTAATCATGGTTCACACATCTCCAGTGAGTAGGAAGGACCCCAGGGCAAGTATGTTTCTGTGTCTGGTTACCTATGGAACTGATGATGGTCACCCAGCTCTCATCCTCAGTTTTCTCATCTGTTTATTGGAGCAATAATCAATCATATTCACCTTAAGCACAGTTGGGAGTAATAAATGAGATAAGGTGGGCTGATAATTACAAATAGTTATAAATAATGATAATAATAATAAACCTATTGCTAATATAATGATGAGGTTAAATAAATTAAACTGAACCTGGGACTCCCCAACTACAGCCAATATTTCCTCTGCACAGCTGCCCCTAACCACACCATCAACACCCTAAATACTTGCAGAAAACAGGATGTACCCAGCACTTGCTAAGTGAGCAAAAAAAACACACACCAAGGAAACTTGAGAATAAAGAGAGTCCAGCCAACTGCTAGCTACTGCAGATAGCCATTGCCTTATGCAGCCTGCCTGGCCCCTGACCTTTCCACCCTGGGAAAGTACTTTTTTTTCAAGATTTATTTATTTATGCATACAAGAACTCAGGAAGGGGGGATGGTACAGGCCAGCAGTGCAGGGAGGTGAGAGGATTCACCAGCGACACAGTGGGGAGCAGGACAGGCAAATCTATTGAAATTCACTGCTGAGGGGCGCAGCAGTGAGACAGGAGAGGTCTGCTGCGCCATGTGGGTCACATGGCTGGGGATTGAACTCATGCTGCAGTGGCTGCCCATAGATTCATAGTGCTGCACTTAACCCCTTGTGCCACCAGAGAAGCCCTTGGAATATACTTTCAATAAACTTTTCTTTACTTCTAACCTTTTTTTGTTTTAGATTTATTTATTTATGCATACAGAATTGGGGTACAGGCCACAGGTGCAGGGGCTGTGAGAGGATTCACCAGAAACAGAGAAGGAAGCAGAACAGGCAGATCGATGAAGTACACTGCTGAGGGGAGCAGCAGGTGGGTCAGGAGAGGTCTGCCGCGCCATGTGGGTCACCTCTGGGGCGGGGGTGCATAGAAGAACTGGAGTGTAGGCCAGAGGTGCGGGTGATAAGTAGATTCACCAGAGACAGAGTAGGGAGCATCCCCAATGCTCAGGCAGCAGATGAAGAAAATTATGTGAACCATTGCAAAGAGAAAGAAATAAGCAGGAAATCAGGCTCACCAGGGAAGTCAGGAAGGATCCTTGGGGAAGGGGCTTGCCATGTTCAGAAAGAAAGAGGTAGGGGCCTCAAGATAGTTGGGCAGGGCGGTGGAGAGGACCTTGGGGATGACCTTTAAATCTTTGCAGCCAGAAGCTAGAATTCCTAGGCAGAGAGAAGGATTCATTCAGCATCTGTCACAAAGTGACAAATTTAGGAAGATACTTACAGTCCATAGAGCCCTCTCTGGTGGCACAATGGGTTAAACCACAGCACTGTGAAGCTGTCTGCAGCCAAGGTGGATCCTGGCAGGCAAAGCAAGCCTCTCCCATCTTCGCCCATTGCTCCCCTCAGCAGTGTATTTCAGTCAACCTGCCTGTTCAATTCCCCACTCTGTGCCTGGTGAGTACCCTCACCACCTGCACCCCTGTTCTTGTATGCATAAATAAATAAACGTGGGGGTGGGAAGAAACTTACAGCCTATGAAACCAAGGGTGAGAATAAACCAGTGTTTTTCCCTTTACTATTTTTTTTAATGATATTAAATCTCAATTGTTATCTCTGTTGAACACAAGACACACAGACATTTGTTAGGGCTGATTCCTGGGCATTTCTGCAAAAAGTGGGCGGAAGCATTCATACAGCCTGAGAACAGGGGAGGTGTGGGGAGGCTCCAAGCACAGCAGCCTGAAGGACCCACCCCTGCTCCTGAGCAGGTCCCCTCCCCAACCCACCCCCATGCAGGGAGCATCAGTGGCCAGAGAAGTCCCTCTTCACACCAGGAGTGTGGATTGAGATCTGCACCCCCAGAGCCTTCTTAGCTCCTGTGCCCGGCCTTCCTCTCACCCAGGCCTCCAGCAGCTCCAACTCCTGAACTCTTGGTACACAGACTGTCCTCGTGTCCCACGTGAACCTCAGGCCTCAGGAAAATTCCCAGGCCTGGGACACCTTTCAAACAGCTTGGTTAAGCTGTCACACAATAAGGATAACTAAATAATAATAAGGATAATCAATGGTCACTATCCTCCACTAGGACAATAAAAGCCTCTCTCAGCCTTTCCTTCCCATTCATTGTTTCCATAGGAGAATAACTTCCTTATCAAGTACAGAACATTTAGTGAAGGACCGTGGTTGGGAATCGTGGTGGGGTAAACTGAGTTGTTCACTGGCAAGAGGAGGGCAGTGGCCCCTTCAGGCAGGGACTCCGTGTGAGAACACATGTCTTCACTTGTTGAACCATCTTGCAGACTCATCGCCTGACGTGCAAATTCTCCACAGCTCAGCTGGTGTCTGAGTTGAGAGTATTTCTGCCTTAGAGAGGGAATGAGCCAGATGGTTGATGCTGGGGGCTAATGCTTCAAGGTCTGGGCTTCTGGGACGGACAGGAAGTGGTACTTCAAGAAGGGAGACAACTCATCTCCCAGCCCTCTCAGTAGCCACCTGTGAGTAACCAAGGCTGCACCCGGTGCCAGGAGAAGAGGAAGAGGAGACCT